CCTTTAAAAAAGTATTTCAAGTATGAAAGAATAATGGAAAACTTTGAATAGTCCAAAGAGGGATATACTATAACTCAACGGGTTTCCTGTGAACAGGAACCTTGTCTCACTATCTCAGCACCCTGAGCTATAGCTATCTGCACAGTAGGCATTCAGTGAATGGCTATTGAATTGAAACTGAGAGCTAAGCTCTGTCTATGTATGGTAACAACAGAGTGAAAGCGAACTGAACTAGGAAGTCCTCTTCAATATCTCTCCACAGGATCCCCCATGGGAGAGAAGCTGGGAAAAAAAAACACACAGAAGAAAAAAGTGTCCCATTTAGACACTATTGAGCATAAAAGAGCTAGAAACACAAATTTTAACTACGTGATAGTTCACTGAAAAATGATTTGAAATCCGAATGAGTAATCTTTTAAAATATTGTCATTTTGTCTACGGTTTTTAAATGAACACAAAAAGCAGTGGTCAGAGACCACCCATATTACTTAATTTTTCTACACAGTAAGTCCCAAATATACAGTGAACTTAAATAAAGAATTGTAATATTGTCAGTTGAAGTGAATTCAATCTTAAAAAAAAAAGTTTCCCTTTGAGAACACAGAATGTTAATTGTTACCTAGCTGCCCTTTTTAATAATAAGTAAAAACTCAAACATTTCATTTAAAAATATTTTAAAACATTACACTAAGAATAAATAATTGAAGAGAAGAAATGAGCATGTATAATAAAAGAACAAAAGGGAATTACTCACATATCACAGAGATTAAAAATAAGCTAACGGGTTAAATGGGCCACCCCTGAGGTCGTGCCTCATCAGCCATGAGGTGCCTGCCACCCACCGGTGGTGAGGTGATTTAACGGTTCAAAACTCTGAATTCTGAAGGATTTAATCTTAGCTGAAAATAAGAAGCACTAACCAAAGAATGAGACTCTATTAAATAGTGCTTAAGTCTGGATAAAATGATTCTCCCAATATACCATTGGTTTTAAATGGTTCATCAATCATATAAATGCATATTTGGGATTCATACTGAGTAAAATAAAAATTCCTAAGACAATTACTTGGAGGATTTTAGTCACATTTTGTTCCTATTTCTAAAAAAAAAGATACTGGTATATTTAATAAGTTATATATTAGCTAGTTTTAAAGCAAGTTAACTCAATAACAACAGTACTATTGAATTTACATGGCATTATTTATTCAAGAATCTGCTAGCAATTTGTGAATATTTGCATTTACAGTTTTCCTTTCTCAATTATTATATTTAAAAAGGTGATCACATATTTTTTGCCAGAAATTTTTTGAAATATCTTTATTTTTTTTTGCAGTGAGTAATCCTTTATGTCACATTTTAAGATGCTTATTTAAACATTTTCATTATGTAATCACTTTTAACAGAATATTAAAATGCAAGTAACAACTTCACTTTTTTACATTTTTTTCTAGTTCACTCATTTGACATAAAACTTCCCCCAAGTTGAGACTGTGTTACACATTTTTTATGTCCCACAAGGCCCCACACATACCATGTACAAATAGATACCAATTAGTAACTTATTGGATTAAACTGAATATGCAGATTATCAATCTTTAGTATATGGCATTCTATAATTATACATATTAACAGCATTTTGGAAAATTCTGTATATTCAGTGAATATTTTATACTGAATGACTTTATCATTATAATTCATTA